TGGGAGTCTCACAATTGAGCTTTACTGACACTAAATCATGTGCGTACACAGCAGCTTCCTTCAGATTAGTAAACGTGTAACGAAACAGACGTGTCTCTCCGCTCTTTGCGGTTAAAACTAAAGATTCAAAAGATATGACTGAACATTTGCTTCCCTTCGTTTGCGCCTCCCAGTCTGGAGACTCCCCAGTTCTTGTATCCAGATGAAAAGAATCATCATTGCAAAGGAAAAACCTCCTGAAACCAGCCGAATGTAGCCAGAGACGGAAACATGTTCCAGATGGAGCCTCCCCCCTCGCGCTCAGCTATCTCGATGTTTGAGACACACAAAAGGTTTTCAGTAACAACTGGTACCTGAGGGCTCGTACCAAACAAAAGAGTTCTTATTTATCCCACACGGAGTTTGGCTGAACTCCCACGACATCCACTAAAACTAAAAGGGTCCACTGATGAGGCCAAAGCAAATTAACTGAAGAAAGAAACTGGTAAGGCGCCCCTCAACAGGACAAAAGGTTTAGACGTGACTCAGTAGGAAGCTTGGCATGGGTAAACACTTGAGTAAACGGGGGGAGATATTCAACTAAATCTAAATAATTATACAGCAAGAAGCTAAATTACACTCATCAGCGTTTTCCCAACAAAAGCCTTTTCAGAAAGTATATGGGAAGAGAGACACAACGGAGGAAAAAAGCAACAAGAGCACGTGCTTGGTTGAACATATACCTGGTTTCCAAAGGGAGATACAAAAACAACAAGGCGACAACTACGAGAGTCACTTCCTCAACTGATTAGCTTTCGGCGTTAACCCAGTTTACAAGATGGCTGCCACGATAAAAATAACTTTAAAAAACACAACCGAGGCTGTAACTCTGTCAATTTTTCAACCACAGTTTGATGAGGTCGTAGCTGAGACTGATCCCCAACTCGAAGTCCAGCGTTTCACCTACCATTATACAAGCAGGGCGCCCCGCCCTGTCAACAGAACCGAACTCGCACCCCGCCGACGAAAATCACGAATGCGATGAGCGCCCTGTCATAGCAAGTAACCCAGGGGACACAGTAGTCTAAGTGCTAACTGCTAGCTGGCATTAACTGTTGAAATCAGCTGGGTGTGACTGTTAGCAAAAAAAATCACACAAACCACTGGAGAATTTTTCAAGTCGTGTCTGGATACAGATACTGGTAAACATGCTTTAAGTATTCATACTTGTACTCATAGGAACATGGGGAAGCTTTGGCTGAGTGGTTACAGCAGTCATCATCTAGTGGGAGAGTTGGGGGTTCGACTCCACCAGCAGTCACATGCTGAAGTGTCCCTGGGCAAGACACTGAACCCCTCATTGCCTCCGATGTGTGTCCCACTGGTGTATGAATGTGATAAATCACTGATTAGTCTTTGCACAGATGTAGTAGAGTGCTGTATGAATGGGTAAATGAAGGCACAGATTGTATTGTAAAGATATTTGAGTATCTTGATAAGATAGAAAGGTGCTATATAAGTACAGTCTGTTTACCATTTACCCTGATATGTCAAAACGATACACATATATACTTGATGTAATTTCCTCTTACGCTTTGCAACTAACCGGGGACAAACAAAAAACGTTCGTAGTTTAGATATTTAAAGGTAAACACATGATGTCAGGACAGCATATGGTTTGCTGCGTTCTTAATGAAAGTACCAACTCATTTACTACTTGGTATCAGTACTCAGTATCGGCAAGTAGTACCCATACTAAAGAGCTTGTACTTGCTCTGGAAAAAAAAATAGTGTTGGGATATCCTCTGGAATTTTTATACAATGGATATAACTCTGAAATGTTACGGATAATGAGCTAAAGTTTGGTGTGGTTGTAGCTGAGTCAGTTACATAACATTATTTTTGAGGTTTCACCAAAACATCTAAAACAGCGTTATTTCTCAACTTTAGGTTATTTTTGTTTAAATCTCTGTCATGAAAGGCAGCAGGCGATATGAATTCCTTAAAGGGATGCTAGGCGTTTTATTTTACATTGGTTGCTTTCATAAAGAAACCGTCATTTCATTTGAGAATAAAGTTTTTTTTCTTATTAACTGTAAACACTTACATTTAATATTAAAGGAGGCCTTGGTGGAACGGAGCATCTCTCCTGTGTAACCGTTTTGTACGACGCACTCGAAGCTCCCTGCGTCCAGCCGCCGGTCCACAGAGGTGAACTTCAGGTTGCTTCCCTCCTGGAAGCGCCTCTCGTCGTCTTTCAGGGGTTTGTCGTCGTCGTACCATTTGTACGTGATGTTGGCTGGGTTGCTGACCTCGCAACGCATCATTGCGCTGCGGCCGTGCAAGGCGTCCTGGGACTTGGGCTCCTTGGTGAACTGGATGGAAATGGCCTGGATGGACAGAACTGGAAAAAAAGGAAAAACAGAGTGGGAGAAGTAAATGACAAGAGGACTGAGGGTGGGTGCTGTTACCATTTTACAGATTTTTCCATTCATTAAGTGTATGCCAAAGTAACCACTTAAGTCTTGTGGAGGAATGTGATGTTTAGTCAATAATGGCTTGTGGTAAAGTATTCTGTTGTAAAACGATTGGACCCAACACGGAGAAACAACTTTTTCCCTTGTTCGTAATGCCGTGGTGCGAGTGGGTTCTCTGACAACCATCATGTACCCTAATCAAAATGTCTTTCACACAAACAGCATCTTCACACTTAAAGCTTTTGTTTATACTCCAAGTTTGCATGAACAAGCTGTGGTTTATGCTTCATTTAATCTCCTTACCCACTTCTAACGAGAGAAAAATGGTTGTTTTTGGTTCCATTTCTATCCAACTACGGACTAAAAGCTTGTTTGAAGACGTTACATTATACAAAAAGCAAAAATTCAAGGAGGAAAATGGGAAATAAATGGGTTCAAACAATAAAATAGTGAAGTAATTTCTGTTTCTATGCATTTGTTCAGTGATTCCATAAACTTGTAAGGTCATCCTAATCACACCCTTCCTAACAGATTTGGTTTGGGGCATCCTTGTTCTGCTGGGTCACTAAATCGATCTTCTAGAGGTCTTCTTTGTGCCAACATTTGATTTCTTAGTGAGTTGCTTTGTGACATAATTTACTGTTTTACATAAGGTGTGTCTTTAATCCCACTTTTGCTTCTTCACGTTTATCTACTTCTGGTTGGTGCTCATCCCAAAATTCAATTCAATTCAAATACTTTATTAATCCCAAAGGGAAATTAAGTGTTGTCGTAGCTCATCGTCCTGGTTTCATTCAAGAGTTGTTATAGGCCGATAGCTGTGGGCAGGAAGGATCTCCTTCAGCAAATCCGAAGAATCTGGCCACACAGATCCATCCACCAAGATCCAGCTTGCCGTCAGATCCGGCGGGCCTCTCGGTCCTCATGGGCAGCAGGACTGCCCAAATGCCAGGCAGAATTCCTCCCCGAGCAATGGCCACTCCTCCCAGCAGTCTGCCAAGCTCCTCGTCACCACGAACAGACAGCTGAAGGTGCCGGGGGATGATCCCGGTCCTCCTTTTGTCATGAGCAGAGTTTCTCACCAGCTCCAGGATTTTGTCAGTCAGGTACTCGAGCACCGCCGCCAAATTGACGGGATTTCGTCCATGGCACCTCCTTTTCAACTCATTTGGGATTTGGGGCTGTAGTTAAAGTATTTTAGCTTTGAGATGTTTATCAGCTGCTCCTGGTTGTTAAACACCTTGCTGCCATGGTTACACATCATAACAAATGCCCAAAATTAAAAAAGTTTCAGCAAAAATCCTTCCAGCTGCACATCATCTGACACCAGAGGAAGTAATCATCCGAAAAAAGTGATTTACATCTTTAAAAAAGGAGGAATTAAAGTTTCCAAAAGCAATAACTCAGAATGAATGTAACAGCTACGCCAAGATGCAGCCACCTTGAGCGGCGCGACTCTAGAACGTTCTAGAAGTTGATGTCTTCTCAGGTCGGCAATGAATAAGGACGTGGAATCGGTCTGATGCTGATTATTTTCAGGCTCGCCCTCCAACGCCACGCTTGTTCTCGCTCCTTTAGATTGTAGACGCCGGTCTTGCACCGTGTCATATAACTTTATAGGGTTTGGATCTTAGGAGGGTTTGGGAGTTACCGACCGTCCTGTCCTGTTTTCCAGATTTTTGTTTCTTGGGGTTGGTTTCAAGGATTACAGTGTTACGACAGAGGCCTGAGTCTGATGGTCAACTGCTGGCTGGTTCAAAGCTTCTCCCTCTTGTTTAGTTTTACTCTGGCTCCTAATTCCCTGCTCTGTTTTAAATATTTGTGTTTATGAAAAAACATTTAAAACATTTAAAACAATGTGTTATATGCCCTGAGCCACTCATAGACAGACTATAACATTCACACAGAGGTTGAAGATTTGTTGGTGTGTATTGTCAAAACAGCTACGCCGCTCTCTGGTTGCTTGGTCTCAATTAATTAAGATTGTAAGAAAATTCACCATTTTTATTCATATATATGTATATATACATGTTTTTAATTAATTAATTTATTTTTGTTGCAATTGTAGGTGCGTAACTAGTCTCCAACGGTCACAACCCGGTAAGATACATGTTGTCAGCCATTTCTATTTGTTTCTTCTGACATCACAACACTTTATGTGGTTTATCATTTCGAGCTCTATTGTCTAAACTGGCTGTGGACGTTTATGGTGGGGGTGTCCATCTAAATGCCAAATATTTTATTTACATGCAGGTTTTGTGTGAAATGAACCGCAAATTTTTTACAGTATTGATTTTGCAAGAATAATTACTTTTCTATTAATTGTCCAGCTCTGCTCCTAAGGCAAATAAAGGGGTTCGTCTCCAATGTTTGTATCTTTTAACCCATTTTTAAAACACTGTACTCAAAGAGTTTGGGTGAAATGTCTTTCCACAGTAAAACACGCTGCCCATGTACAGTGTGGTGTATTCCCTTTTCATAAACGTACAGATAACTCCAGGTACTTTTTACCTACTAGTGTAACGTTCTTCCCCAGTGGCATTACAACCATACACTCATTTCTTTTATCCTAATTAGGTTAAAGGATAAAAAAAAAAAAAAATCTTACTAGAAACCCATTTTTCCATCTCGGGCTGTTATGGTGATATAAAAAACTAATTACAACTCAGCAGCTGCTCTTATGGAATGGTTTCTTCTTTTGAATAACTCCTACCGAAATCACTCAATAACCTCTGGAAAAGGAGTCCATGCAGGTCCTCGTCTGCCTCTGTGACACAATGTTATCATACCTGATGTCAGGGGTCGTTATCGAACGGAACGGTGCCGAGCTAGAGTCGATTAAGCATAGCAGCACCTGCGTGACGGAGTGTGCACCTGTGTGTGCGCAGGTCCTTATCGACTCTCGCAGAAGTGGAATTTGGTGAAAACCGGATCTTTCAATAATCTAGAAGGTGGTTCACGACGAACCGAGGCAATTCCTCGGTCTTTGACTTTCCATACATGCCTTTCTGGGCATCTTATATTCAGGTTCACCTTCCTCTCAGCAGCAGGTGGTTTGATCCGGCACGCGGGTGCAACAAAGCAGTCCAGTTGAAAACAACATTATTTACAGGAGGGCTGTGGATCGAATGGAGGGACAAGAGCAGATCTCTTAACTTTAAATGCCCCCACCCCATACATGGCATCAAATAAAAAAGTATCGACCAGAAGTTATAAAACATGTTTAACAGCAACCACAGAGACAGAACTGCACAGTAAATACATTTAAAACACTCCTGTGTCAACAGAAGTAAGGCCTTGGTAAGGCGATGATATATACAGGTGCAACTCAGTAAAACAAACTAAATAATTTAAAAGCTTCTCTATTATATAAATTCATCCTAAACAGAAATATACTGAATATTTCAAGCTAGAGCCCGACCAATATTGAAATTTTGGCTATCGCCGATATCGATATTGAGAGGGGAATGCTAATGCCGATAATCGATATATTGGCTGGAATTTTTCATCTTTGTCCGAGGATCTCAGTAAACCGCTACTTTTAAACCCGTTTTAACACTTGACGTCTTGACAGAGAGTTCATAACGTGCGTTCACATTTTCTGTCCTTCACGATTCACCATAAAGTTATCAAGGGTGTTACAAATATATAAATTAAACAAAGAAACCATGATTCTGTCACGAAGAGTTGACATTTAGGAAGTATTTGAGAAATTTCAAAGTTTATTTGCAGAAAAATACCAAACACTTTCAGTCTCAAACTCGGATTTACTACAAAAAGAACTTCGATGGACATATTTCAGTAGCATCTGCTTCTCATGCACCTATGTGAGTATTTATAGAGAACACAAGGTGATAAATCATCCTCACAATATCTGAACTGTCCCACAGTATGAAAGCTCTGCATGATTTATTGCACTAAAAATTGTTACAACTCCATCGCAGAGGCAACTGGCTTCTAACAACTCCCCCCATGAGGCCGAGGATTTGTTCCATCTGAGTAGAATCGGGATAAAAGGCAGCAGATGGGTTGGCAACAGCCGGCGCCATCGTCCCAAGCATCCACCTAAACAATACATCAGGCGATGTTCAGACAGCACTGCGGCATCGTGCTGTGTTGTGAGAAGTAACACCTAATTTCATCACTCCGAGCCTCCCGTGTACGGTTATGAGCGTCGGTCTGTGGGTTTCATTTGGGATGTTTGTTGACGTGTGGCGTTTATATCGGTCCAGAGGGGGGGGGGAGACTTCTGGGTAAAGCCCGAGCAAAGATAGAAGACAGTGACACATAAAACACAATGACAGCTATGAAAGAGAAGTGAGGTGGCTGCGGAGCTGGGTATCACGTTTGAAGACGTCTGCCAAGTTTACTCTCTGTTCAAACAGAGACGGCACCATGACCTACATCACTCAAACGCACCACAGCTTACCTTCTATAACAAAGAGCAAAAGAAACATCCGAGAAGGCTTTTAGAAGCAAATAAATCCTACAATATTACAATTTCTAATTGTAAAAATTCTAATTTTACCAATTTTACATGGATTTGTATCTGTTCTGTTCTACTTTTCTGTTATTGCACTGATTACAACAGAACATTTAGGCTACTTAATATTACTGTACAGATACAAATCAGTTTGTACAATTTGTCGAATTAGACCAAATATAATAATTTAACAAGTCTTACCATATGTGACCTGTGCTGGCATGTTTCCGAGTGTGCTCAGACAACAATGCAAAAAAAAAAAAGGTGAAAACACACAATTTTTTTCTTTTTTTTCATAATTGAAATTTGTGTAAAAATGAGTGGTTCCCAACCGTAGTCCTTGAGGAACACCATCCTGCATGTTTTAGTTGTTTCCCTGCTCCAACACACCTGATAAGAATAAATGGGAGATTAAAGTGCTTCTGTAGAACTTGAGGAAGTAAT